CTGTTTATTTAAATTTTCATGGTTAGTGGCATATAAATTTTATAGTATATCCTTGTAAAATATGTTATATCTCCCTTTTCATTTCCAATTTTATTAATTTGAACTCTGTTAATTTGGTCAAAGATTTTTCAATCTTATTAATCTTTTAGTTAACTACCTCTCCACTTAAATGATTCTTTGTATTGATTTTTTTTTTTTTTTTGGTTTGGAGGCTGTCGGTCCAGCCTTGCCTCAAACTCCCAGAGATCTGCCTGCCTCTGCCTCCCGAGTGCTGGGATTAAAGGCGTGTGCCACCACCGCCCGGCCTGTATTGTTGTTTTTGATTTGCTCTATTTCATTAATGTCAGCTCTGGTTTGATTTTTTCTTTGTGTTTACTGTTTGCTTGTTTTTTTCAACCAGGGTCTCTATATGTAGCGCTGTTTGTCCGGGAATTTACTATGCAGATCAGAAACTTCCAGAGGTTTGCCTCAATCTGCCTCTCCAGTGCTTGGATTAAAGGTGTATGTCACCATTTCTTGCATTCCTGTCTTCTGCTTCAGTGTGTTGTTAGTTCTTGTTTCACTAAAGCCTTTGGATGCAGCATTAAGTTATTAATTTGCCATATCAAAATTTTTTATGTAGGCATTTGGTGCTACACACTCTCCTTTTAGGACTTCCTTCATCATGTCCAAAAAGTTCTAGTATATTGTCTTTTCATTTCATTCAATTCTAGAAAGTAATTTTAAATTTCCATCTTTGTTTCTTTTTTGACCCAGTTATCTTTCAGTAGCATATTGCTTAGCCTCATTGAATTCATATACTTCCTGTAGTTTCTATTGCTGCTGATACCTAGCTTTATTCAACTGTGGTCAGAATGCAGGGTGCTATTTCAATATTCCTATATAGTTTTTTATGTTTATTTTTGAGATTACAGTTTAATTACATTTCCCCCTTCCCTTTCCGTCCCCCAGCCCTTCCAGATACCTTTACACACTTTATTTAAAATTCTTTTTTCATTGTTATTGAATGTGTATCTATATATACATATGTATTCCTAAAGACAACCCTTTAGACTGTATAAGGTCACTTGTATGTGTGTTTTCAGGGCTGTTTGTCCCTAGACAACCACTGGTCTTTACTTCCCTGGGGAAGAACACCTCTCCCACTTCAAGATTTCCTCCGTTACCTACACTTTTTTTTATGTGGATTTGAGGCCTCATGGAGATTTTTTCCCATCTAGTAGTTTGGGCAGTAATGTTGCTGAGACTTAATGATATTAATAGATACGTACTAATATATTCTGATATTAGTAAAGACACAGTCTCACAGTAAATGCACTGATCCTCTGGGTCTTAAAATCTTTCTTCCCTCTCTTCTGCAATGTTCCCTGAGCCTTAGGTACAGTAGTGTTCTGTAGATGTATCCATCAGGATTAGGCACTACTACTCTGCATTTTGATTGAATAGCATCCCTTTGGGGATGAAATGACTGGTTCCCAGGGGTTACCTAAGTTCATCAGAAAACACAAATATTTATGTTACAATTGAATCAGGACAGTAGCAAAATTACAGAAGTAGAAACAAAAATAATTTTATGGTTGGGGATCACCACAACATGAGGTTGCAGCACTAAGAAGGTTGAGGACCACTGTTCTAGAGCTTTCAAGCATGCTATTACGTTAGCAGTATGGGATCTCTTCATTTTATGTAGGCACTTAGTGTCATGAACTTGCTTCTTAGGAAGACCTTCACCATGTCTCATAAGTTTGCTCATGCTGTATATTCATTTTCATTCAATTCTAGAATGTCTTTCCTTATTTCTACTTGACCCAATTTTCATTCACTAGAGAGTTTAGTTTCCACAAGTTTGTAAGATTTCTGTTGTTGTTGGTATCCAGTTTTAATTTGTGGTGTTCAGAAAGGATGCAGTGAGTTACTTACATTTTTCTGTCTTTTGTGACTTGCCTTGTGTCTGAGTATGTGCTTAAGTTTGGAGAAAGTTCCGTGAAGTACTGAGAAGGAGATTCTTCTGTGTTTGGATGAAATGTTTTGTAATTACCTGTTAGACACATTCAGTTTATCATGTCAGTTAGCTCCAGCATTTCTATATTTAGTTTTTGTCTGGATGACCTGACAAGAGTGGGATAATGAAGTCTTCTACTCTCAGTATGTGAGTGTCAGTATGTGATTTAAGCTTTAGTAGTGTTTCTTTTATGAAATTGTGTTTAGGGCATAGATATTAAATACTGAAATGTCATCTTCATGGAATTTTCCTTTTATGAGTATGTAGTGTCCTTTCCTATTTTTTCTGATTAGTTTTGGTTTGAAGATTGTTTTGTTTTGTTGGATTTTTTTTCAGATACCCACTTGCTGGTTAGATCTGTTTGCTTTGAATGTCTTTTTCTATCATTTTACCCTGAGGTGATATCTATCCTTGGTAAGGTGTGTTTCTTGGATGTGGAAGAAAGATGGATACTGTTTTCATATCCATTCTGTTATTCTGTGTCTTTCTATTGGGGGAATTGAGACCATTAATGTTGAAAGATATCAATGATCAATGATTGTTGTTTCTTGTTAGATTGTTGTTTCTGCTTGCATGCTTGCCTCTGTGTGTGTGTGTGTATGTGTGTGTGTGTATCTTTTGATTTTGTTGGTCTGAGTTTCTATATTTCCTGTGTTTTCTTTGGTGTATTAAACTCTTCAATGTTTTCCTTCTAGTATACTCTGTGGGACTGGATTTATAGATAGATATTACTTAAATTTATCATGAGATGTATTATTTTCTCCATCCATGGTGACTGAATGTTTTGATAAGTTTGATACCTGAGCTGACATTTGTGGTCTCTCAGAGTTTGCAGCTCATCTGCCCAGGCCCTTCTGGCTTTGAGAGTCTCTATTGAGAAGTAAGGTGTAACTCCAACATGTCTGTCTTTGTATGTTACTTGATGTTTTTCCCTTGCAGCTTTTAATACTCTTACTTTTTCTATCTATCCAGTGTTTTGATTATTATGTGCCTTGGGTACTATTCTCTACTCCAGTCTATTTGGTGTTCAGCATGCATCTTGTACCTTGATAGGCATCTCCTTCTTTAGGTCAGGAAAATTTTCTTCTATGATTTTGTTGAAAAAATTTTCTGTACCTTTTTTCCTGAGTTTATTCTCCTTCCCATATTCTTAGATTTGGTCTTTTCATAGTGTCCCAGAATTCCTTGATTTTTTTTTAGTTTTGTTTTTTGAGACAGGGTTTCCCTGTATAGCTTTGGAGCCTGTCCTGGAACTAGCTCTTGTAGACCAGGCTGGTCTTGAACTCCCAGAGATCCACCTGTCTCTACCTCCCAAGTGCTGGGATTAAAGGTGTGCACTGTCCCCCTTCCTTGATGTCTTGTACCATGAGTTTTTTTATATTTAACACTTTCATTGACTGATATATCTTTTTCTTCTGCTGTCTTCAATTCCTGAGATTCTCTCTTCCATCTTTTGTATTCTGTTGGTGAAGTTTGCCTCTGTGATTCCTGTTCAAGTTCCTAAATTTTTCATTTTCAGAATTCCCTCAATCTGAGTTTATTTATTTTACTTTCATTTTCAGGTCTTGAGGGATTTCCTCCCACTCTTGTTTCATAGATTTCTTTAAGGGGTTTATTCATTCATTCCTTATAAAGGCTATGTAAAGTCTTTTTGTGTTTCAGGGCATCTTGGGCTTGGAAAGATTATAGTTCTAGGTGCTGATATCTGGTCTTGTCCTTTTTATGTGTGTATTTTTTTCCTTATTTTGTTTCCTCTCTGATTCTTAGGAAGGGTGTAGTGGTTCTGTGTTGCCTGTTAGGGAATTCTTCTGTGATCCTGATAGGTGTGGCCACTGGAGGTTCCAGGTAAAATGTGTTTCTGGGTTTTGGGAGCTGACACTTAGGAATGGAAATGGGCTAGGTGGGTGGTTCTAGGGGATCTAGGAGAGAGGAAAGGTATGTGTTCCACCAGGATCTGTTTAATCCCCTGGAAATGGGGCCAGAGTGTGAGGAGAGGCCACAGCAGAAGGATGTTACAGAGTTGGGGATGAAACAGCAGTATTGAACTTGAAGGAATGGAAGGAAAGGTGTAGATTTGTAATTAGCCTACTTGCATTGCAGGTCAGAGTGGCCTGTGGGTTTCCAGGAAGTGTCTGTTAGAGTTGGGGGCTGGGAAAAAGCAATGAGTAATGGGAGGGAATTTAGTAGAGTATGCTCTATCTATTTGATCCACTGGAGATGGGAAGGGACTCTGTATCAGTAGTTCTGCCTCAGATCTTGGGGTGAGAACAGGGGATTGGATCTGTGGATCAGAGGAAGAGGTGAAGATGTGGAGTTAACCTACCCAGTTCCCTAGCAGGAGTGGCCTTTGGTTTCCCAGGCAATTGGCTGTTATGTTTTAATTGGAGTCCAAGAATAGTATTGTATTCTCTTTTCATTTGGACTCAAATTCTAGGGCAATCTCCTAACCTCTTTGGTTTTGCACATGGTTAACCTTTGAGCAGTTGTCTTGTATGCAGCATGCCCCACATCCTGAATTTATACAAAGAACTTTCCCCTTGTTTTTAGATTCAGATGAAATAACTTTGGCAAAACTACCATAGAAAATGTTGCCCCCATTGACAGCTTCTAAGAGACAGAGCTCGGATGAAGAAGTGAGGTCATGTGAGACACACTCACATCTTTTATTTACTTGCCTGTTTCAGCTTCCTTATTGTTCTTTTCCCCTCCTGGTGCTTATGGTGGAATTCAGTCCCATGTAAATGTTCTACCATTGAGCAACCGCCTTAGCTCCAGGAAAAATTTATCTGGTAGAAAGTATTATTTATCATTTTATTATGAATAAAAATGCAATTCAAGTTACAAAATCATTGCTAAGATGACAGACCCAGTTCTGAGTTATGATTATCATTTCCCCTGTGGTAAAGGAGGAATGGAGGGAGAAAGACTGGTAATGTGGTTTTAGCTGTCTGTAATACTCTGCCTATTTAAACAAATAAAGCAGTGTCAATATTGTGCATATTTAAGCAAATGAGACAGTGTCAGATTTCATGTTGTTCTTAGATATGTTTTTTTTTTCCAGGAGTGGTGATTAAATTACAAACTGTAGGCACAACTGGTGCCACATGCCTTTAATCACAGCAGACAGGTGGTTCTGTTTTTCAGACAGCCTGGTCAATGCTCCATAGTGAGACCCTGTTTCAAAACAAAACAAAAACAATCAAAAACAATCTGGCTCCTGCCCCTTGTGAACTTGCCAATGCTACACTGGCCCTTTAAGAAGAAAACTCCACCCACTTACACTCTGGGTGTCCCTGTGCCCTCCTCTCTCCCCTTTCCCCTCTCTCTTCTCTCTCTCCCCTCTGCCCACTTCTTCCTTTCCTCTTTAATAAAACTTCCCACTCAAGCTCTGTCTGCCTGGCATGTTTGGGTGCAACATGGAATCTGCCAAGGTCCCCCACAAGCAGTATTATAACATCGGTGCTGTGTGTGTGTGTGTGTGTGTGTGTGTGTGTGTGTGTGTGTGTGAATACTCTCTCTCTGCTATACACCACACATTTCTAGGGAAGGACACAAGGCAAAGGCTCCCATTTCTTCAGGTAGGGAGTATGTCCTGCCCCTCTGACCCCTGGTGGTTCCTATCCCACAAAAACTATTTCTGCTAGGCTGAGGAGTTTCTAGTGCTTCCAGGATGTTGTGTCTTTACTGTCCTCATCCAGTCGTTACAACTTCTGATCCTAGACTGAGTGACATGGGTGGGGGGGAGATGGGACAGACGGGACTGGACAGACAACTTACTTGTGCACAGGATAAGAAGGGTTGTTACCTCAGGTCTGATTAACCCACCTTGGGTTTTATTGCTATAAAGAGACACCATGACCAGGGAAACCTTATAAGGAAAACATTTAATTGGGGCTGGCTTATAGCTCAGAGGTTTAGTTCATTATCATCATGGCAGAAGCATGGAGACATGCAGGGAGACATGGTGCTGGAGCAGTAGGTGAGAGCTCTACAATATGGATCCATGGGCAACAGGAAGAGACTGAAACACTAGGTCTGTCTTGAGCATGTCAAAGCCCACCCTAGTGACACAGATTTTCCCAACAAGGCCATGCCTCCAAATAGTGCCACTTCTTATTCACCTATGGAGGCTATTTTCTTTCAAAACACCACAAGTATACAAGTCAGGAAGGCATGTCATCAAATAATTTACAAAGAAAAGCCTTGCTAGGGCTTTAGTAATTTCAAACAAACTGATGAGGAGGTTGTGGGTTTGTATTCTGTGGTTAACCAGTGATTTTACAACACTGTTTGCTTATTTGCCCTAATGTCCTCTACAAAGTCCCAACTCAGCTAGTTTCTGGATGAGATCCTGGCTTATTTTTCACTTCTGGATAGCTGTTGTGTCAGTTTCATATTGCTGCAATAGTAGATTACTACAAATGTGGTGGTTGAAAGCAACACAAAATTTCTAGCTTCCAGGTTCCAAGATACAAGTCCTGAGGTCAGGCTGTTAGGGGTGAAACTGTATTCTTGGAAGTCTTAGGAGGAGCTGCCTGCCTACTTTCTTGGCTTCAGCTCTTCCAATGGCATATTCAACTCTCTTTCTCTCTCTCTGTCTCTCTGTCCCTATCTGTCTCTGTCTCTCTCTCTGTCTGTCTGTCTGTCTGTCTGTCTGTCTGTCTGTCTCTCTCTCTCTCTCTCTGTCTGTCTGTCTCTCAGCAGTATCTCATAGATTGGCCTCAAACTCACTATGTAGCTGAGGATAACCTCTTCCTTCCCTTCTCAGTTTTGGGTTGACAAGCGACCACCACCATGCCTGAGAAACTCTTCACAACACCACATCCTATGGAGTTTATATAATGATGAGAATTCACTCACTATCGTACAGTCATTTCCCCACCCCATGCTCTCTCTGCTCATCCTCCCATCTAGTCCTGGACCCCCACTGACCTCCACCGTCTCCATGGTCTCACCATCTTAATAAGACTACACAGTTGTGGCGCACCTGCTGTGCGGCCTGCATCCGAGAATGTAGCGAGGTGGTCGGGATAGATGACACAGAGACCGGTCGGTTGCTTTAAGAAAACTTTATGCTTCCCAAGTCAGCTTAGGAGGAGACCCCAGTCCACTTAGGAGAGAGCTCTCAGGAGAAGTCTCCCCAAGAAAAAAGAGCTTCCCTTTTTAAGGACTTCTGCCATTCATCTACATACCATTCTTTCCAGACTTCTCACCCTCCTGGCTGGTGGTTTAATCTCCTGCCCCAGAATCAGGGAGACACCGCAGGGAAACAGGAAGAGGCATCTAGCCATAGGGGGTGTGAAAGGCATGGTATTTCAGTGAGTAAGCCCTTATCTGAGCCCTATCAAGAGCTTTAAAGCACTGAATTGTTTTCAGTAAACATTACACAGATGCCTGCTCCCAGGCCGAAGGGGAAGTGGGTTTCTGCTCAAGGTCTGGTGTCCCCACACAGTTGGACTTCAGTAGTGTCTCACCATTTCAGACAGGTCTCTTCCACTTAGCAGTGTGCATTTAGGCTTCTTCCCATTACTTCATACACATTTGCTTCCCACAATGCATTTAGTATTTGAGACATAATCAAATTTTTCAAAAACTGCTCTTATCTCAGGCTGCTTCAGGACCTACCTGAAGCTCCGCCTGCCCTGTGCTTCCTCACCTCTGACCTCACTGGCATGAATTCCTGGGAAATCTCAACATACTTTCAGTAAGTTTGTCATTTCAGAATGCAAGGGGAGGACTGTTATGCCAAGTTTGTGAGAACCCCAAAAAAGATCACCAAAGAGCTGACTCACTGATCCAAATGCATAAGGTTTAATGTTAAGTCACAAGACTCAGCAGGGACCCTGTCCAGCAAACTGGCCCAGCAGCTGCAGTAAATAGAATACCTGGCCTCAGTTGCAAAGGGTTTTTAAAGGAAAAAAAAAAAAAACACTTCAAGCAGGGTAGTACCTGCCTAGGCTGTTCAGGATTGGATAAGAGTAGGTGATCTTTGGATTCATTGATGTGTGAATTAGGTTAATTCATATTTTTGGCAGAACAACCTGTTATCTTACATTTTTTCATTGGTTGTTATGAGGAGGGAACATTCTATGGTTTCGGGATTACACCGTGACCTTTTTCACTTTTCACAAAACTGGTCTGGATTTTTTAATTCCCTGGAACAGGGTGGCACTAGGTAACTCAGAGGTCAAGGCAGAATTGCTCTACTCTGAAAAAGTTGCTGAGGTTTATCTCTTAAAGTCCTTGGAACAGAGTAATTCCTAAGTCCAGGTGGAGTTGCTCTATTCTGGGAAAGTTGCTGAGGCTTATTTGATTTTTAACTCTTTCAAGGACATGCCCTCAAAAGATGGCTGTCATACCTATTTTATTTACCCCAGAGTCCTTCCTAGTTTGCAAGTCATAAACAGAAGATAGGTTAAATGACCTTTCTCAAGTTATGCAAAGCTGCTGTGACAGGAACAGCTTACCCAGCTGAGCCCACTTCCTCAGGAACTAGAGCTCTAGTTTGGCCACATCCTAGAGTTCCCAGGCATTACTGTAGCTGCCTGTAAACAATGACATGACTGGCCGTATGGATGGATAGCAAGGCAACAAACTTCACCAGGAGGAAGAGAGGATGAACATCCCAGTGTAGGACCCCACAGCTACACTATGACAGGAGAGGGATGCCAAGCCACAGTCCAGTCAAGCCTGTCACATACTCTGGCCTATTCCTCTGGATCGCTTTGGGTGCTATAAATGGGAGCAGAGTGTCCACAGAACATATGCTTGTTATGAATGGAGTGGCCATTGTTGAACTCACATGCAAGGTTGAGAACTGTGGGTGGCAGTGTGACCCCTCACTTTGCAGATGAATATCCTACCTCAAAAATATCCCAATCTTCCAAGTTAAGCTTATCAGTATGATAACTCATATTCTCCTACTTACAAGTCTGAGAGAGCTTTCATCTGCAAGCAAAATTCCCCAATAATACATTAGACCCTAACTGCAAGTTAGCTGTTTCAGTATATCAATTTCTTAGCTATGTAAGCACTAGCTAAACATACCAATATCATTCTTAAACTTAGGACAGAAACAGAAATGTTATGGCTTCACTTTCTATAGTTCTATAATTTTTATATAAAAAGGGTATGAGTGTATGTGTCTATAAAGCCTAGACTAGTCTCAAATTTTACTCTCCTGCCTCAGCTTCCAGTTGCCTATGACTGATTACAGGTATGCAACAACACACAGATCTATGATAAATTTAATTCTAAGATATCAAGAAACTAAAACAAAATTCTCTGTCGCATCTCAAGTTGTTGGGTTTTCTCCCAAAGAAAGATGAGGTGGTTTTAAGTGGTGGCTGCCTTTCAGGTGAGACCCATCACTGTAGACTTCCAGAAAATTTCTGTCAGCCAGACTGCCATGCTGGGAACATTTGATGGTCACAATCCCACAGGGGCAAACCCTAAAAAGATGTTACATGTAGTCATTTTTGTATTTCTGCTAGTTAGTGAGCCTACCTCTGCCCACTTCACATACAGTCCACTTCATGCTGCTCAAACATCACAGGTAGCTATGAACTATGACACAAGCCCATGTCTGTATCACAGTAATCAAAAACCCAGAGACAGATACAGGAGTTCAAGCTTCATGCTAAATGAAGATAAGAGAAGCAAAGTAGTCAAGCCAGTAGATCTGATTTCTACCAAGCTGAAAAGGCAGTCCTGTCTCCATGAATCCTCAGAGGAAAAATTCTCAGTTCCTGTCTCCTAATATTCCTTTCTCCACCCAGCCATAGTCTCCACCTCCCTAGTGCTGGGATTAAAGGTTTGTGATCCCTGGTATTGGTATCAAAGGTGTGGAGCTCTGTTATTCTTCACTCCTGTGTAGGCTAGGGTGGACTTCAATCCATCTTCCTGTCTTCTGAGTCCTGGGATTAAAGGTGTGTGCCACACTAGTATAGCTAACTAGTGTGGCTAGCTTTGCTTTCTGATACATCAGGCAATCTTTACTAAATAATAAACAATATATCACCATATGTGTCTCTGCCTGTCTCTCAGACCACCTCAGACAGGTTGGCTCCAAGGAGCCAAAAGAAGATGATCCAGAGTTATCCTTCTCTCTGTTAGCTGTCCCCTTGAAATGTTTTTTCTTCAAACCAAGCTATTTCAAATGTCCCACATGCCCACAATTTTACTTTTCTTGCTAAATGAACACAAAGCATGCTAGTCTCTCTTCTGACCACCTGAGAGAATCATGTTCAAATTTAAGCCCAAGTATTAGAAGTAATGTAAATTCTCCTTCCTACAGAATCCATCCAGTCCTCATTCAAAGATGTCCTTGGACGACATGAAAAACCTCCACCTGGAGGAACATCACCTGCAGCCAGAAACCAAGGAAGTGAATGGGATCCTCATGTCCAAGATGATGAGCGACAACTGGGACAAGATCTGGAACTTCCAAGCAAAACCCGATGATCTCCTCATTGCAACTTATGCAAAGGCAGGTGGGTGCAAGGAATGGCAGCAGGCAAAACACAGAGAAAGTGTTTTCTTTTTGTTTTTTTCTCAATATATGTTTTTATTTAAATTAGAAACATGAATATTTCACATGTTAGTCCCAGCTCCCTCTCCCACCCCTCCTCCCTTGTCCCTCCACCAGCCCCCCACCCAATCCCCACATAATTCCCCAGGGAGGGTGAGGCCCTCTTTGGGGAGATCTATAAAGTGTGTCATTTCATCCAGGGCAGGACCTAGGCCCTTCCCCATGTGTCCAGGCTGAGAGAGCATCCCTCTATTTGGAATGGGCTCCCAAAGCTTATTAATAAACCATGGTAAACACTGATCTACTACCAAAGGCCTCCATGATTTCTGTGACCTCCTCCTGGCACTACATTCATGGAGTCTGGATAAGTCTCCTGTGGGCCTCTCATCCATCAGTCTGGAATTCAAGAGCTCCCCCTTATCCAGTCAGCTGTCTTTGTGGCTTTCATCATCATGGTCTTGACACCTTTAGAGCAAGTGTTTTCTGATATGGGCATCCTGAGTAAAAGAGGAAGGTGTAGGGTTTCAGCCAGGCAAGTCCTGGGGGGGAGGGGTAAGGAGCATCCCAACTCATTTGTATCCATGCGTCAACCTACAGGACTCTCCTTTAATTAAGCTCTTCAAAGAAAAGCAGCACCTCAAAGATTTAGTGAAACCACAAAGTGCTCTAAAAGCACAGACTCTGGGAAATAAAAAAATGGTAATTCTTAGGGTAAATCCTACCAGCCAGGCCACCTTTCTCTATTCACTTCTCTAGCACCTAAACTCCTCCTTTTAGTGACCTAGATTGGCATGGACTTGAGCACTTGCATCCATGTAATAGTGCTGAGAGCCTAGGCACACTCATTGAGGGAGAGATGGAGAAGGAGGTACCAGTTACTAGACACTAGGGAATGAGGATGGGCTGATGTGGAAAGAGTCAGAAAGACAAAGAATGGCATGGGCCTCAGCAGAGGGGAGCACTAAGGAGCACTCACTTTGGGAAGACAGCAGTGAATGACTACCACCTCCCACCCCTTCCTTCCCCCATGTGTTTTCATCAGCCCACAAATGTGATGAAGTTAACAGTTTGGACATTTGACTTAGCAAAAGGGACTTCTGACAATAAGATACATCTGAATTTCAGGAAAGGGTCTGGATTTCTATCAAAGGCTCTGGAACCTTTTCTGTCCCTGGACACTGAGCTCCATATTAGTTGTCATCTCCAACCGTTGCTCATGGTCCAGCATCGAGCTTAGGAGTTTCCAAGCCGAGCTTCCAGTTGCTACAGGCTCTCCATTTCTGTCTGGTTTTCACTGGACATGTGACTTCCCAGCTAAGATCCTTTCATTCCTCATATCTGAACTTAAACCTGCACTTCTCTTTAGAGCAGAAATTTTGGATCAGTCCACCTTAAAAATCATGCAGTTGCCTTCAAGGCTCTCTGTGCAAAGGCCCCACTCATAAACACACACTCTCTCCCTCCTTCCCTCTCTCCTCCCCTCTCCCTCTGACTTTATTGCAGCATTTCTCTCAGCATCACTCAGGCTCCCATGAACCCTACATGTACTTCCAGATGGGGAACACACCTGCACTGGTCACCTTCCAAAGATACTTTCTTCTTAGGGCAGGTGACATTCTATTATTCTTACTTCCATTCTTCATGCCAAAAGCTGCCATGGTTCTACTGAATTGAGCCTCTCTGGATCTTCAGCAGTAAACAAGCAAACTTCCTGTGCACCTCTCTAGCACCCCCTCTCCCATTTTGGTCTTCCTTTAGACTGTGTATGCCCCATTATCCCAGAAGAACAGAGAGATACTCCAACAGCAGTGACTGGATCCTGGTGCAACAAAGACTAAAAACTGACATCTGACTCATGTAGCTAATTGCCAAGCTAAAATGGGAGCATATACAGAGTGTGTAGAAAATTTAACAGACCAGTTGATTCTACCCAGAACCCAGTAAATCTGAATGTAGCTGAGTATATACATGTGATCAAATAAATAGAATTGAATGGTGCCATTGAGTGGGTAGCACTGAAAATAACGGATGCTTCTAGGTACCACCTGGACACAGGAAATTGTGGACATGATCCAAAATGATGGGGATGTACAAAAGTGCCAGCGGGCCAACACCTTTGACCGCCACCCTTTCCTCGAGTGGACTTTGCCTCCACCCCTCAACTCAGGTATGCTCCCCCAACTGGGATGCAGCTGACTGTGATCACTGTGCAGCATCAGTTTTCACCCCAGAGGAAGATCTTTGCTGCAGTCTTCCCTCGAGAAAGCACTTTCAAATGGAAACAGAAAGGAGTGTGGAAGCAGCCCAGGGCAACACATGTAATTCCTTTCCTAAAAATGCATGACTTGGTAGCACAAGGAACACACCTTATGGTGTGCAAGAACCTAGAGTGCTATGCATGTGTCAGCTCAGTGAAGGCATGGTTATAGTTTAGAGCAAAGTTTGAAAGTTAAATGCCTACTCTCCTAGGAAGGCACTAGGGAGAAGCAGTGGAGCCTCATGTAGTCTTGGAACTTGCTCTGCCGGCCAAGCTGTCCTTGAATTCAGAGATCCTTGAACTCAGGGATATGCCTGACTCTGCCTCCAGAGTGCTTTCCTTAAAGATGTGCACCTGTTTGCTAGGGCTTCCAAATCAGTGAGTGTAGAGGTTTCTTAGGCTTCTAACAGCCTCCGCAGAAACATAGCAGGAGTTAAAGTCCTTGTAAAACTTTATTAACATTAGGCAAATTTATGGGTTCCCATGCAGAATTGTGAAAACCATCAGAGTCCAGTAATAGGCATAGAGTCCTTTTACCTTATTAAGTGTTGGGATCCTGTTGAGGTCTGGTAGAAGGTCCAGAATCAAGGTGTCCTCAGAGGCTATGGATTTCCTTGCTTCCATCCAGATACTCTGTCTCTCTCATCTGAGGTAGAAGAGAGTTTGGGAGTTGTTGGCAGTCATCCCAGTTAGGCTGGTGAGTGTAAAGCAGTATCTAAGGAAAGAAATCAAACCTTGGGGTTTATCAGAGAAGGACTTTTGATTTTCCAGTTATAAAAATCACTTTAGAAAAGGGAACATGGTCCATAAATCAAGCCACATTATTTGTGGCTTCCTTTATGAGGGGAGCCACAGAAGGAACTGGGATAGGGCTTGGTCTATAACTGGGTCCGCTGAAGATGCCTGAGGCAGGGGAAGCAAGCCTTGGATACTGCTGAGAGTGGGGAGGTAGGGCATAGGAGGACACACTGTGGGAAAAGCCGAGGACAGAATCAGGGGCAGTTGGTTCAGGAGGATTCACAGGTGGGAGATAAGATGGCTGAGAAAACTCAGGGTCAGGGATCCTCTGAGACTTTGGGAAGACTTTTCTCCTGTACTGCTAAGATCTTCTTGCTTCCATGTTTGTAGTACTCTAGCATCTAGGAAGTTTGTGTTTCCAGGATATTCAGCCATGCTCAAACGTAGGGAAACTGATTCTGGTCTTCCAAGAATGAGAGACTGACCCTGGCAGTAACTTCAATGTGGAATGACACCCTATCAGTCCACCCCACACTGGACGCTGACCAATCCAATTGGCAAAGTGAACTAAGAGTTCCTTTGGAAAAGTGGACTCCACACTCTGATTCTCATGCTCTGAAACCTATAAGTTTTGTAACATGCATTCCAAGGTAGAGGTTGACAACATCAATGAGGTTCACTTTTCCATGTCTACTTATAATTGGAAATGATTAATGGGGCATAGAAACAACACAGGTAAGGGGCAGAGACAATGGAAATGAAGTCAATAAACACTGGACAGACTAGTAGACACCAAGACAAACCATATCCTGAGGATTTGTGGTACTGTCCTGACCACAACGTGGACTTAGGGATTCTTACACTGTTGCCAACTTTTTCCTTGAGCCCCGATTGTCTCCCCAGACTTACCAGAAACCTGAAACATAGGTTTTTGCTACCTCTAGAGATCCCTGAACACAGATATGCAGGCAGACACCTTCAAAAATTTTAGGGGCCAAATTGGTGGGAGGTAGTCAATTCCTGTAGCTGAGGATCATTCTTTCAGTAGCCTCCCTAGGACCGATAGCTCTTACCCTCTTCTAGGAGGTACCCACCTTAGGGGCCAGAGGTCTTCTCAGAGATTTTGGTCGTACCTCCAAATGTTATGGAGTTTAAACAAAACACATAAGAGGCCCAAATAAGTCAAATTATATGGAACCTTTACCTGCCACAATCGGGGCTATCCAGAGTGGTTGGAAACAACTGCAAGCTCCAGTTTGTTCAGGTTTTTAAAGGCAAAACCTTCAGTTGTGATTTATACAGGAGGCACCCATGGACAGTTGCAATAAGGAAGTGTTGTTCACAGATGTGGAGATATAGCAGTTGAGTGGTCAGGCATTTCTCTTAGCCTGCGGTCAGGGACATATTGTATAGGAATTTATGACTGGTCCAGAGACCAGTGTTACCCAACACAGTTTTAGCCTATGTATTCTCAGAAACACTTGTACAAGATAGCACAACTATAGTCCTGAGTCCACTACACAATAAATGAAAATTTCCAGTGACTACCCATTTCCCCAGTCTATCTTCAGATTCCTGACATGAGATCTAAGTTTAGGGAAAGAGCAAGAGATAAGCATCATTAAGGGGTCCTGTTCAAGATGTAGTTTCATCCATTATTCTGTAGAATCCTTTTTGATGAACTGGAAAGCTGCCATCAGAAGGGACGGAGACAGGCCTTATATATATAAGACCATAGAGTCAATCATCTGGTCAATATAATTTCCAGTGTTTAAAAGGACACTGGATCCACATAGCTGGGGAGAAACATTTGGCCCAACAGTGTGGTCTTATTTCCTAGGTCTAGATCTGGCTAACAAAATGCCTTCACCTCGAACCCTGAAGACTCATCTGCCTGTTCAGATGCTGCCACCTTCCTTCTGGAAAGAAAAGTCAAAGGTAATAACAGCCCAGTTTTATTCATTAAAGCAGAAACAACCAGTAGAATCTATAAGGCAAGTGATGTTATCACCCTAAAGCCCACACACTCCTTTCTGTACCCACCTTTCCTTCAAAAGATGATTGCTGGGTACCATTGGAAGTTTTCATATGTGCCAGCTAACCCATGCTAAAAGAAAGAAATCAATGAAACAAAGCAGGGGAGTTCTACTTGAAGGTGTACTTTTAATTTGGAACCTCTATGAAGCAGGAACCAAGAATGACTTAAACAAGAATGCAGTCTATCTGGGGAAACCTGCATGGGAAAAGTAGAAGAAGACAGTGAACTTGGGGGTCTTTGGGGTCCTGCAAAGAAGGTGCCAGGAGTGTTCTGAAAACACAGAACTTGACACTGCAACCCCAGGTATTATTCAATGAAGCTGTTAAGAATCCTACTAAAGCCAACTATCAGAAAGCCTTCCCTGCCTCGGTGGTCCTGTTGTGTCATGTGCTCAGCCAAGAGCATCCCATTGGAAATGTGGTCTTGCCCAGAACATGGTTTTTGGTTTAGACTACAGCAGATGAGGCCATCTGACAATAGCCTTCCTACAACCAGAGAACAAACAGTCCAGTCTAATGGACACCACTGAGAACATGTTCACGTTGTATACAAAAGTGATCCTCTCAGAATGGAAACTCTAATTTGCTAGTGTTTAGAGACTTGACTTACCCTTATGGAGATTTCATCTCATGAAACTAGATCCCACTTTGGTGTTTCTGTTTTCTATATTTGTTTTGACACTTCCTAATTCAGAGAGTATACAAGTATGCACATTATACTCACTGAACTCAAACCTTCCCAGGCTTTGGGTTTTTATCTGTGCCCCCACCAACAAGCAGATAAAAGGAGAATTGTTTGCCATTGTTGATACCTGTTTCATCAGTAAGTCTAGAAATAGATAGTATAAATATGGAAAATTTAATATCAACCAAATAGCAACTTTGAAATGCAACAGGAAGTGTGAGAATACAGTAGAATCAGACATCTCTCAGCTGGGCCATTAAACCTCTTTGGAAACCAAGGTGTGTGGCAGTAGCTAAAAGGGCAAGCTGAGATTGCAAAGTGTCTCATGATTAGGCCTGAAGCTGACTTTCTCACATTCTGCCTGAGTTTCCTAAGGAAACCCTACTAACTGACGAGTTTGTGTGGCCAAAACACCAGCTCATATAGTGCTTAGACACAAAATGCTCGTGAATACTTGTAGGGGAGAGCTCACTACCCAAGATACTTGGCAGGCCTGTTTGGGGAAAAAGCAAGTAAGATGTTCTTTCTTGGATCCTGGCCTCGGTTCAGAGACCGTAGAGCACTTCCCTGATTCCCCTGTAAGTGACTTCTCTCTTCAATAAGGTATCCTAGGCCCCTTCTTTTCCTGTTGCACTATTTCCTTTTCAGATAGTGTCATTGTGGGATTTAAGTTCACCCATCCCGAGGTGAGTGCTCACTGGTGCCAATTGCAAGTCCCAGCCCCTCCCCCTGGGGCCCCAGCCCCTCCCCGGGATGTCTCAGTGTCCCAGAAAACAATAGCTCCCCCTCTCACATTGCTCCTGAGCCTCTCCACAGGCCCTAATTCCCTCCTGGGTTGCTGGGAGTTTTAAAACTCTTTCAAACTCATCTGATGCTCCTGGGTGCCCTCCTGCTGCCACTGAGCCACTGATTCTCGCATCAGCCCAACAAGCCCTGAACCCCAAGGGGCTTCTGCTGTGTCCTCAGGTGGCTGCATGCAGGACAGGCACCCCTGCTGCTTATGGCTCTGTAAACTGGAACAGCAGCAGTCAGTGCTAGTAGTGCTCTGGTGCCCACTGGCACTGCCTCAAATACTCTTAATTATTTCCTTGGAGGAATGGTTTCCTTGACTCACCAATCCTTTATCTTGACCATGTCCTTTCTTCAAACAAAGTACAATACAGATAAGTAACTGTCCAGGTATCAAAATGTTGCCTGTTTTCCTAAGGGTATATCTGGGGCACCTTAGCTTTGAAGATTGTTGTTTATTACTGAAAGATCTTGGAGTTGGAAGTTAAGGGGGAATACTGAAACACATTGTTCTTTTGGTAGAAGGTTGATTAAAAGAATTATTAACATCACCATGGACAGACAGCATGGTTTAAGCCTATATGGCAGAGTCCCTTTTTGTAGGTCAGAAGAGATGTCATGCAGTCAGGCTGTCCAATTCCTGAGCATCAGGGGGATGGGGAGGAATTCTGGGACAGGAATGTGGTAATCCATAATTATTGGGGAGAAAGAATATATTTAGTTAAGGTGAACCTGTTGTTCAGGTGGTGAATGTTTCACACTGTTAGCCCTCTGATGTGGTGAGATCTGGCAAACTGAGTCTATAAACTTTCTCAAGGAAATGTTAATTTCTGACATTTCCAGCACCTGAGTAGTCTGTTATGGGGTTAGAGAGCACAGTCTCTTCATTCTCTTTATAGGGCCTTGCCATTTGATCTATAGCAGCTGTAAGAATGAAGCTGCTACACAGCTGTAGAAGTTCATATCTTTAATCCCAGCACTTGGGAGGCAGACGCATGAGTCTGTGGTGAGTTTGAGACCAGTCTGGTCTATAAAGTGAGTTCCAGGACAGCCTGAACTATATAGTGAGAACCTGTATGGCAGTTTGAATGTGACTGGCCCCCAAAATCTCATAGGGGGTATTAGGAGCTGTGGCTTTGTTGGAAGGGGTTTGGCCTTGTTGGAGGAAGTGTGTTACTGTGAGGGCAGGTTTTGAGGTTTCTGATGCTCATAATACTGCCCAGGGTCCCAGTCAACATCCTGTTGCCTGAAAGATGTAGGACTATCAGGTACTTCTCCAGCACCATGTCTGTCTGCATAACACAATACTCCCACCATAATGATAATGGACTGAACCTCTGAAACTGTGAGCTGCCTCAACTAAATGTTTTCTCTATAATATAGAGTTGCCATAGTCATAGTGTCACTTCACAGCAATAAAAACCTTAACTAAGAAACCTTGTCTTCATAATAATTACTGGTGGGGGGAGGAAGGAAGCTGCTATAGTGAGTGTAGCCTGAGTAGCAGGTTGCCCGGGATTCTCACAAATTCCCACAGATAGATGCCTTCTTTCATTGTAAGTAACTTTTGCTACTGAAGAACCTGTTTTTGTTTTGGTTTGTTTTTTGAGACAGGGGTTTCTCCATGCAACATGATTTCTGGCTGTCTTGGAATTCATTCTGTACACCAGGCTGGCCTTGAACTCACAGAGATCCGCCTGCCTCTGCCTCCCGAGTGCTGGGATTAAAGGCGTGCGCCACCACCACCACCCGGCATTAGACAGTGTTCTTGATTGAGCCATTAGTAAGAGTAACATCATGGTGGAAATGAATTCCAAAGTGAGGAGTTGAATCTCAAAGTAGAAATGAAAGACAGGGAGAGTGTGAAAGAGAGGGCTAGGGAGACCTGTAAGGAGAGAAATGGAAGGAAAGATCCACAGTATCTTTGGAGAGTATACATACCCCCAGTACCCTAAGGGTCTCCCTTTAAGTCCTGTCTCTGAAATGTGTGCAGTACCTCCTTGTAGCATCACCCTAGAGACCAAGTCTACAGCTGGCCATTTGGGGAATGCTACTCATAGCATGTCAAACCATAACAACAACTTCCTACCCAACACTGCTGCAAACACATAGAGCTACATGCTAGAATGGGAGCCAGGCAGTAAGAAAAGGAAGGCCACAGATACCAAGACAAGGTTTCATCTCTCCTTTGTTAGATCATACCATTGTCTTCTTTATACAATGTGTCCTCCTTGTATAAAGAAGCCCATATAAATCTCTCCAGGACAGGGAGCTTAACACTGCTACAAAAGGATGAAAAGCAGAGGAGACAATTCATCTGTGAGGTTGGTATTTATCTTATAGAGAAGTCAAAGGCTGATTCACAGCCTTAGCTTTTCCTATCCTGTATCCCATTTAGATTCTTTGCTCATCAAAAATTAGGGAGGACTGGTTTAAATGCTCTGTTCTCCAAATTTATATATTGAAATTTTAACTCCCAAGGTGATGGGATTTGAAGGTAGGTCTTTAGTGATCATGTTAGGAAAGTGGGGCCTCATGAATGGAGTTGCGACATTTATTAAAGACTGCTATTTGTGAGGAAGTGGGCCTTTTCCCAGTCAGTGAATCTGCTGACACTCAATCCTCTAGCCTCCAGAACTGTAAGAAATTAGTTTCTGTTGTTTATAAGGCACAGTCTGCTTTTGTTACGACTGGACCAAGGCACCACAGATAGCCTCCTTAATCTCCAAGTTAGTTTAGGGTTACAGCAATATTTATCATATGAACCACCACAACACCTCTAAGATAGGAAAGGGATATAAGGATATACTTAGTAATAATGTTAAGATTACAGGTATAAATCAGAATGGTTTGTGAGCATATTAGAAAAGGTGGTCATTTTGATCATAACACACACACACACACACCAATTCCTCCAATAAGTTAGCTTACAATGTGCAAAAATACTTTCAAAGAACACAACTGTCCATATCAAATACAGATATTTTTCTGTCTTGTTTCTTTTCTGCCTTCCACTCCCTTTGCTGGACAAACCTAGATTATCTATGTGGCCAGAAATGCCAAGGACTGCCTGGTATCTTACTACCATTTCTCAAGAATGAATAAGATGCTGCCTGACCCTGGTACCTGGGAAGAATACGTTGAAACATTCAAAGCTGGAAAAGGTGAGTGAAAGAAAGCTGGGCCCTTCTACTTCCTAATCCACATGCTGATGACAGACAAGATTCTCAGTAGATATTTGCAACCCTTGAGGTATTCCAGGAAGTAGATGATACACTGTGACTAGTTCATCCCTGAAGATATTTACAGAGACTGTTGACAGCTGTGAGCAGAATTTTGGGGAAACCATTAAGGGTTAATAGGAGTTCATGGGATTACACTAGCCTCTGGAGCTATCAGAGGTACCCTCACTGGGAACATAAAGCTTTGACAGTGGCAGAAGTCAACCACAGTGAGCCAACAGGAGGTATACCGAGGAAACAAGTGCATCATCCTCCTGTCTCCAAAAGCCTTCCAGTGCTGCTTTGAACAAAGTCCAACCATAGGCTGAGTTCCACTTGCTGGGCAGGGAAGGCAGAGCCAGAAAAAGATGATCACCATACTTCTGACCACTCACCATCACAGAGCAAATTTGTCCAGATGCCTTATAGTGAGAGATTTTTCCAAAGTCTATACTATAGGTATGATTTTTAAATACACACACACACACACACACACCTTTAACATTAATCTGTGTGTCATGTGATAATGCAAGAAAAAATAAAACTTTTGAGCTCAACTGTAATTCCATCCTTCAGAGCAGAGAAAGTTGAATGATGGGAATAAAAACCAGAGAACTCAGAATGTATTTCTCATTTCCCTCAATACTCTTACAAAAGGAAGAGGGGGACACACAAAAGTTTAAGAGCCAGAGGCAGTTCATGGACAAGGGAAATGTATCTTTTGGCCATAGTAGAGGAGCTGCACATGTACCCCAATTGTGAGAGTATTCATAAATCCTGTGAAAGACAAAGGCATACAAAATTCTAGTATAGAGACAAGAGTTGGGCACAAAATTCTTCCCCTAACAAATGACCCTTTGGGGATTGTTAGCTGGTGAAACAGAGTTAGTTTTCTCAAAGAGTATAGCCTCTGGTAAGTCTACCATTCTCCAGTGGGAGACAACACATCTAAGAATATTTGAGTAGCACAAATTGGCCTTGATGGGAATAAAAAGACACAAAGTTGGGTGGGAATGGAAGAGGATGCATCTAGTAGGACATGGGGGAGAGGGCTAAGAAATTCTTGTGTGTATACAAAAAGGCTTCTGCAAGTAAGAATTGTGTTCAGAATCTTTGCATTTCATTTGTATTTGTTAATTGCCCTCTTTTATTTAGCACAACCATCTTCATTTGATGAGTTTTAAGGTGACAGTGACATTCCATCTCTTTCCTCCTCAGTGCTGTGGGGCTCCTGGTATGACCATGTAAAGGGATGGTGGGATGTGAAAGACCAACACCAGATTCTCTACCTTTTCTATGAAGACATGAAAGAGGTGAGAGCAGGGTGATCTCCCTCAGGTGTTCCTGCATCCTCAGATCCAAATATTCCAGTGACGCCGAGGGATGTGGGTTTGCCTGCTGACCTTGAAGACATCCTCTAAGTTTTATCTTTCCTCTGCAGAAAGCAGAACAATTTCTATAGTCAAATCAACAGGTTAGATTCTGACACCCTGAGCCATGCTTCATTGTCTACAAAATGGTTTGTTGTCAACCTCAACTATACAGATTTGTTTAGTCATAAGTGTAGAGTGCACATAGTTGTATTAAAAAATGTTTAGTTTCCTTCTTCCCCTTCCTCACCCTGAAGTCCATCATTAACTGAGTTCTAGTCCATGTGAACACTGGCAGGATTAAATATAGAATGAGGCACTGACTGACCCTTCTCTCTGTTTCACTGTGAATGAGAAGACCACAATCTACTCTCAAAATCTTGTGGATTGGTGTGCTCAAGTTAGAAATCCACATCCCATACCAAAGCCAAGAAGTACCGTGTGATTTAACCAGAAGATTAACTTCTTGTCCTTTATCAGAATGAGGCAAGCATCCCTGAGTCAATTTGATAACTTTTATTCACTCTCTTATTAGACTTCTGATAACTCACAATCCACTTTTTATGGCTGTTCTAGTCAATAGACCAAAGCTAGTCACACAGAAGAACATAGCTTCTATTCATATAATCTTCACACAATCTCTGACACCCAGGATGTGCCATAGTTCCTCTCCCAAGGCTCCAGGTGCTGTCTGTGGAGCTATTTGTCTTCTGCTACATTTTACTCTCCTAGAGTGCAGTGGTAGAACCTGGGGGAGTCAGTGCCCTGCACTAAAACTAAGATAAAGTTCAATTAGTACCTCAACACATCCTTTTCCAAATACTGTCTCTACTGACTAAGCAGCATCTCTATGGAAAATTATTTATTTTGTATAACTGTTCTACATACAGGACCCAAAGAGGGAAATTGAGAAGATAGTAAAATTCCTGGAAAAAGACATATCAGAGGAAGTTCTAAATAAAATCATCTACCATACTTCCTTTGATATAATGAAGCAAAACCCAATGGCCAACTATACCACTCTACCCAGCAGCCTCATGGATCACTCTATTTCCCCTTTCATGAGGAAAGGTAGGTGATATTGACATCCTGAAGTGGTCCTACAGTCAACTTATATTTTCCACTGATATCTCATGCTACCTGTCTTACTTTGCTAATAGCTGTAGAGTTGGAGAGGTGGCTTGTGCACTTGTTCATCTGGGTACAGGTCCTGGGATATAAAATCAGTCCCCCTTCTGTACCTGCAATAATCCATGAGATTTCTCTTTGTTTCAGGGATGCCTGGAGATTGGAAGAACCACTTTACTGTGGCTCAAAGTGAAGATTTTGATGAAGATTACAGGAAGAAGATGGCAGGGAGCACCATTACTTTCCGCACAGAGATCTGAGAGCCATGCAGTTGGGGCTAGATTTCAAATGTTTTAGTCATTTGAACCTCATGTTAAAACATATTTAATACCTTTCCTCTATTCCTGAGCTGACGCCCAATTCTGTAGGTCCTATCATACTATTTCATCAAAGTTTAACTAAACCCTATAAGTAATTATTCTTATTGACACCTACTACACAACCATGTACTTTAATGTGCTTAGGCTAGCCTAGAGTTGTCTTGTCTCTTAGAGGCAAAACTCATGAATAGGCATACACAGGAACAGGATTCCCACATAAGAAAGTAAACAAGAAAAGCTAAAAGAATGAGAAGTAAGCACTGAGCATAAATAGAAGGATAGCTGGTTTTCTTAACAATTGTCTTTGTCTGTTGTGAAATACTGTAACAGAACACCTAGTTAGTTTATAAAGAATAAAAATATTTCTTATCATTCGGAAGGCTGGGTGACTAAAGTCAAAGGACCCACATTGGCAAGACGCTTCTTATTGCATCCTCCTATGATGGCATATGGAAGAGGGGTGAGGACGGGACACAAATTAATATTTTTGTCAAGAACCTGTGATAACTAATTCCCATGACTGTGTGATTGATTTTCCAATACAAGAGCCTTGGGACACATTCATGTCACAGCAGTGATCAAGAATGAAACTGTCCCCTCCAAGAGCCATAGACTATCTAACAAAAACTCCAGTATTGGACATGAAAAACCACCTATTAAGTTGTCAACGTTGTCCAAAAAATTCCTAAACCTGTTACCCTCAGTTGTCTCCCAGAGATAGAAGGTAAGTCCTTGTTGCTGGGGTCATCATGCACTTTGGAACAGGCACACAGCTCAGCACATCTGAATTGGATCTATCTTGAAAGCTCATACCCTGAGGACTCACTTTGATGGTACCACAAGGCACCATGTGAGTTTCCAAGGGGGAAGTAACCATTAGTCCTACCCAACTATGATACCTATATCCCACAACAAGAGGCACTATAATCCTAAGCATGCATACCTTAATGGTAACTAATAGTTCTGTATTTATACTTAAAACCCTGCTCAACAAGAGGGAAATCTTGGCTGGTAGTGGAAACATAGTCAAATACCCAAGGCTTGGAGGAGAACCTAAAACCACAACATTACTAATATAACCACATAACCATAACTAATAACCCCTAACTCTATTCTAAACATTTGTTCTCATACCTACAGTTAAGGGTAGTCCTCAATCTTCATTAAAGAAACTTCTCTTTCCAATAGACAGAAGACCATAACCAATCAAAATGCATAGAAGTAGAGACCATGTAGTTCCCAGTCCCAACTGATAATCCTACAATACAACTCCTACTTCCAGTGTTCAGAGAGTATTGCAGAAGAAAGGGTGAAAAGATTCTAAGTGCCAGGGAAACAGAAGTTTTCTGTGAAATTGTGTCTTCAAGAAATGTCAGAGAAGTTACACTCCTAAAATGTCATCAGCATACCTTCACGAACAAGGCCTGAAAAAGGAAGACACCAGACATTCTAACATGTTAGCATGTTTTCTGATATTGCCATTGTTCCAATCTTGCTCTATGCAGCCACTTATAGTTGAGATGATTTCACAGCCAACTTCCTCACACTATAGCTCTTAAATCTTTTGGCTACATGGACTTCCTTGTTCCCTGAACCATGGAGAGGAGCTGTTTATGTATCCACTGGGAGTAGGATCTCCACAATCTGTTGATCTCTGCATGGGGAATTTATTGTATCCATTTTTGTTTCCCCTTTTGAGAACTCTGCTTAGCTTCCTAGCATATTTTTAAAATAGGGGCATTTGTTTCTTTGACTCTGTGTTTTGAGTTCTTCGCGTATTCTGGATTTTGTCCTCTGTCTGATGTAGAGATGGCAAATATTATCTCCCACTCTGTTGGCTTCTTCATTTGATGGATTATTTCCTTAGTTATTCAGGAGACTTTTAGTTTTGTGAAGTCCTAGTTATCAACTGTTGGCCTTAATTCCTTGACAAATGGAGCCATGTTCAGAAAATCCCTTTCTACCCTTTTATCTTCTGAGTACTGCCTGTGTTTCCTTCTAGCAGTTTTAGAATTTTAGATTTCAAGTTGAAGTCTTAAAATCTTTTTATCTTGAAGTCTTTTTATCTACTTGGACGTAAGTTTTTCACAGGATAATAGGTATGGAATTTTATTCTTTTGCTTGTGGACATTCAATTTTCTCAACACCCTTTGTTGAAGATACTTTTTTTTTCTTTCCATTATATGTTTTGTTGTTGTTGCTGTAATTTTGTTTTGCCTCTTCATCAAATATCAGATGACTGTAGTTATGAGTATTTACACTTGGGTCTTCTATTTTGTTCCATTAGTCTACATGCCTGTTTTTGTGCCAGTACCATATTGTTTTTACTACTACAGCTCTATATTTTGAAGTCTGGAATATTTTGCTTGCAGATTGCTTGCTTTTATGATGTCTGAGCTCCAATGCTTGTGACAGGCATTGGCTGCTTTCCAGAATCCTATGGCATCAGGTTTCTTGAAACCCTGGACCTGTTTTCTGACCCTGGTTTAGGAGTGAGGAATTTTCTTTGTTCCAGACCCTTTATAAGAGTATATAAAGGGTAGAGGCCATGGTTTTGTGTTTCCCACTGGTAGAAGGGGCATCATTTTGGGGTTCTTGGGTCTAAAATTACTAAGAGAATCATTGTTTTTATTCTTCCAGTTCCCTCCCCCCACCTGCCTCTTTTCTAAACCCCCTCCCCTATCCATCCCTTAGAAAGGGTAAGAGTCAACAAAGTCTGGCAAGAAGCAGAGTGTTTTCCTGGAGGAGAGCACACTTCACTCCACTGGCCAGTCAGGAGGTTTGGTACTCTCTGATAGTGAAATGCCACAGCGGCCAAAGAATCAAATTGGCCTAGAGGAGTATCAAACTGATCTGAAATTTCTTTATGGTTTTCTGAGAGCTGGAGAGACAGAGAGGGTAATTGATAAAAAACAAAACCAAACAGGCCCAGTTTTCATTCTGAATCCTGAAGATTGGCAAGTCCAGGGTGGCAAGAGGAGGGATGAGCTAGCTGGCTTATAATCTAGGCAAAATACACTGGTATTGGGGTACCAACAGTAAGTTGAGGGGACCTTTGGGAACTGCCAGGTAGCAGTTAGGTGTGAATAAGAAGGGTAGCTAAGTGTTCGATAAGTGCAGGGAAGGTAGCTCCCATGTAATAGTGAGAACCAATGAGGACTCAGAAAGACTGAAATGGAGAAGGCTAGTAAGGTTAGTAGTGCCAGGAAGGCACTATCTGGTTTTGTGCAGCAAAGAAGACAATTGTAAAGCTCAGTGGTAAAGCTGGAGGGAAGCAACAGGAGGAGACACGTGGATAGAGTTGATGAATACATAAGGTAGCCTATGAAGCAGGCTTGTTCTGGACTGGTAATTCCTCTGGGCAGCCATTGGGTAGAGTAGGTTTTATGAGAGTTTCAGGGAACCGACAGCTCTAACTGCTTTCTATCTGGCAAAAGGGGGTGGTGCAGGACACAAATAGTCGTGTTGAGCTGAGTCAATCCATATCCTATGTATGGGGCAGTATTTATTTTTAAATCAAGAAGAGACTCCTTAGTTAGGAATAATTGTTCAAATAACATGTCACAGGGACTAAGGACCGTTAAAGAAACATGCTGATCATTTTAAGCTTGGATATGCTGTCTTGTTTGGCGTTTATAACCACGTAGGTGGAAAAATCAGTCATGTTGCTGTTGTGAATGCTTTTGGTGTTGTCACGTCCAGCTGATGATCTGGTCATCAGGGGCCACTTGAGCATGGGAGGAACCTTTTGGTTCTATAGTCTTTCTTTTGTCAGTTAGTCCATTTATGTGAGGATTAGTCAACAGCCTTGCTGTATCACTGTTTCAGTTGGGGTCTCCATGGCCTCTCTGAACAAAATAATGGATAATGCTAAGGGACTAAAAAAAAAAAAATGTTTCTCAGTATCCTGAGACCTGCTTAACCTTTTAGTCTTTTTTTTTTTTTTAGAGCTGGAGAGACTTCTGTCCAAGAGGTCCTGAGTTCAATTCCCAGCAACCACATGATGACTCACAGACATCTGTAATGAGATCTGGTGCCCTCTTCTGGCCTGTAGGCATACATGCAGGCAGAACACTGTTTACATAATAAATACATCTTTAAAAAATAGTCCTTTTTAAATCTATCTTGATGACATTAGAATAGGCTACAAAATATGGTTATTGAAAACCCAGGTCAATTACACCAATTTAGCACATTTAACTACCAGATAATATTTTAAAAACTAGACATTTTAAATAGACTTGGATTAAACATATTAGCCAGTCCTTGTAACTGTTGCTCTTTGACCTTAGAAACTTTAATACCATAGATATCATTTCTAAGTCTCATTTTTTATGTGTTAAATAACTTACTTGGCCATTTATAACTCGAATAAACTTTCTCATTCTGGAAATGTCCAGACAGCTCAATCTTTATAAAAACAAACAAAAACCTTTTACTAAAGCAAGTTAAATGTTTACATTTTTTACTTACTGGTTTTCCTTTTTAATACGATGATACATAATATCATTAACAAGTAAATTTATCTTCTTTTCTGAGAATATTCTCCCAGGGCAGGGAATGAACTCAGTAATGTCCATCCCTTTCTCATCTGTCTCACTGTAAGGTCTTCACTACAAAGAAGGGCAACAGGTAAGCTCCTTGAGAACCCTAGGTGTCTCACATGTATTTGCTCCAGCTATATGACTGGGTATGTGTTAAGAGACAAATACATCCTAACACTGAACCCTCCCTAGGCCTATGAATCACTACTGCATTTACTCAGAGAAGTTCTGACATTGTAATGCACTCCTGTTAATTACATCTTCTGGCCCATGTTTCAGTCAAACAAGCATACTGCTAACACCATTTCTAATTCTCCAAACCATTATATTCACTGTACATAGTGAATTCCTGTCAACATTTTCATCCTGCTCCAACTTCATGTTCTTCCCACCCTGATCCATACCCTTAGTATTTATCCTGCACCTATTCCCAGAATTTTGTTTTTAAGAATTAGAAAACAAGTAGTTCTTTTAAGTTTAGCAAACCTCCTCATAGGGGGCACACTTAGTTTACAATCTGGTGCCTGAAGCTATGATAATGTAATTATTAGTCTAAAACAATGAAGGGTCATGGGGTGGATACCTGGAAGAATAATCATAGCCTCCCAAGATGACTACCTGAAGTGATGTAGGAGCTATCATTTTTCCTCAAGCAATGCAGAGTTAATTTCTCCAAGTAGCTGGATAGGTTATTTGTACTGGCAAAGTATATCATCAGAATTTAAACTGTCAATTGCGGTGCCAGAACTACAAGCAATTCCAAGGTATCAGAAAAAGAAAGACAAGATGTCCAGCTTTTTGTACTAAAAGAATGCATGTGCTGCCTTT